CGGCGTAAGACCTTACTAATAATTCCACTCCAAACAGGGAACATCTCTCACGAATTGTGTCAACAAACTGACAACCATCTGAAAGCTGTTGCTAACCAATGGGAAGACACTATATGACACTATATGACACTATGACATGCATTGACGCGAACGTTAAATGTGCCATGATGCTTAACAATAAAAGATCGACGCAGTGTTTAAGGACGAAATGAATCACACGTATTTGAAATTCAAGATGTGGGATTCTCGTCATACTACCTTGACAACCTAGCAGCAGTTGTAATACGAGTATTGAATATTTTATCAGATAGGTATTGCTTAAAATCAAAAATTATATAACCGCCTTGTGAGTGAGTGAATGAGTTTAGTTTTATGCCGCACTCATCAATATTCCAGCTATATGGCTGCGGTCTGTAAATAATCGAGTCTGGACCAGGCAATCCAGTCATCAACAGCATGAGCATCAATCTGCACAATTGGGAACCGATGACATGTGTCAACCAAGTCAGCGAGCCGGACCACCCTAGAACAGTCAGGTAATCAACAAGCGTGTGCAGTGAAATTTCAATTTCACACTTACAACTCGCACACCTGGCTGTTCTACCAGCAAGTGGTCCTCTCTCGTAAGAAATAGCGAAAAGTGACAAAAAGTAATGATCGTGTGTTAACAAATGTTTTTTCGGGTGTCCAAAATTATGAGACAAATCATCAGAGCTGGTATTTTGGTTTCATGTGACTGTGCAAAATTTGTTGGGTTTTTTTGCATTTATTAGGTTTTGTGTTAGTGAGTAATTCATCGTTCTCAAATTAAGTCAAACGGACTTTAAGTCTTACTTATTTACGGGACGACATGGTCCTTGTGAGTAAATCACATACTGGCTTGCAAACCCAGATAGACTGTTTATTAAAATAATGTATTGTTTGTAGACTTCGGAATATTCCACCATCAGATCTTTTCCTACTTGAATGTATCACACAGCTTAGTTATTTGGGTGTAACACTCAAACAAAGAGGTACAAAGTTTGCAATATGGATGTGAGGTGTGGGGTGAAAACGGTGTGATTGTTTTGAGAGAGTTCACCGAAGGGTCTGTGAAAATACATTAGGTGTAAAAAAGGTAGCACTAGTTATTTATTTGCTGATGGCGATCTTGGTAGATTCGCACTCACTATGCACGTGAACTACTCATGGTCAAATACTGGTTTAAACTAGTTAAGTCAGAAAATTGTATGGTAAAGGAAATGTATTGTACACCAAATGACACTTGTGGTTGTTATCGTAGAATATTGGACATTTTAACAGTGCGTGGTATTTAGTATGCATGGTTGCCGTCTCTTGACGTCAATGTAACAGAATTCATTTCTTTGTTAAATCAACGATTAACGATCAATATATCACACACTGGAATCAGGAATTAAGAAAAATCCGCTAACTATGTTTGCATAAGCAATGTAAATTAAATCATGCTGATGAATTTGTAATATTGCAACTAATTATAAACTTAGCTCTGCTGTGAATAAATAAAGAAAGTCATCCATGTCAACATTTATTGAAAATGGTGGAGTGATAGAATCGCACGGGAAGCACTCACATGTACAAAGAGTAATGAAAGATATTTAGAAAATGGATTCAGTTTTGTCACTAATTGCCGGCATTTTTCCATTTAAGATATATAAAGCCATATTGTCTTAAACGCAAATCGGTATATAGTATAGAACAGTTGATTTAAACCAAAGGTACTACAATATAAAGGCTTCCAAGCAAAGATATACATGACTTATTCCAGCCGAGAAATAACGTTTAAAGAATTATGTAGATGTCAATGCCCTCCACCTGATAACTGACAAATATACGTATTTCCAAGTATGACCATAAAGTTTGCGTAAAAAAGTCGGTCAGTCTGTGTGTCTGTACCCATGGTCCCTAGTATGGTGATCTAACTTCAGTTGTTGGCGATCTATAGTCTGTTTTTATATTGTCTTGTCATGTATAGTTAAAATGTTTTAAATTTAATTTATTCTGTGATAAACTAGTTGTTTTACTGTCCTTCGTTGACAGGTCTTTATGATATACCTATACTTATTATAAATATTTAACTTGATTTTGTCACGATATGGCTGAAATACTGCCGATGTGACTTAAACTTTTTACTCACTCAATCACTCAATCACTCACTCACTGTCTGTAATCATTAGCGTTATTCCACATACTCACGTGCAAATGTGTCATTAATAGTTTTGAACTATTTGACGCACAGACGACAAAAGTTTTCCACGAAAATATTTCCATTTGTGGCAGTAACAGGTTTTGTATATTTTAACATGTTGTATATTGATTAGAATTCATGTAAATAAATGCTTTAAATTTCATTGCACAGCTTTAGTCATTTTATTTTATCATGATACTTAGCCTGCCTTAACTAACTATCACTCACAGCCAGTTCACTGAGCATGCTTACCGCATGTTCACCACACAGCACAATAACATAAGCCCTTCCCCACCTACGTTCTTTTGTCTTTATAGCCAGCTTGGGCAATCAGTTAAGCTTTACACTTTTACACATTACAAGGTTTGTGGTCACTCCACATTCAATCGTCAGTGGGATAAGATGTCTTGTTGATTTTCTGGACATACCTTTGGATCATATCTTTGGATCACATTCTAAGGTAATTTGGATATTTTATCTATTTATTGTTTATGTATATCATTTGTAGATATAACTTGTAGTTGTATCAGTGTGTGTTAGTCTTAAGTGCATAGTACTGTGAATTTGGTGATAAATACTCTACATTCATTATAATGTTATATTAGTAACATGATTAATAAAAGGCAAGGTTAACCATGTGAGCATGCAATGAATGGATGAGCACAAGTATAACTTGGTAATCATAAATGGGTATATGAAAATAAGCACGAGTGAGCTTAGTTTTACGCCGCACTCAGCAATATTCCAGCTATATGGCGGCACGAACGAATGAATGAATGAATGAGGTCTTATTTTCATTGTTTTATATCTTGCTCAGCTACAGCCACATTTTTGTTTGATTACTGCATTATTGCTGAGAATGCTTTTGTATATGTACATTATTAGCCTGTCTGTACATATTATTATAATTATTTTCTCTACAGACGAACATTTCATACAGATACAGCAGCGTCCCCAGGTGTGAAATAAACCTAGGCCCACACACCTGGTAGGTTTATATATTGTTTATATGTCATATAAATCAAATGAAATACATTTTGTACACAGTAATTGTTTACTGAAGTAACTGTTTTGTAAAGTTATAGCATATGTACGAATTATTTGTGTATATCTGTGTTTAGGATATGTGTATATTGCTGCATTTATTATATTTTACACCTGATTGTTTCAGGGTTGTTGTGTTCACCTATACATATCTCCAATAAAACATCTGCCATTGAAGAACAAAAGTAGCGTCTGTTGTCTGTGTGTGACTGACGCAGTCCTGCTACACATATGTTAGAGACAAAATCGGTGTGTGTATATATATATATAATATAAGTAAATGTTAGGAGCTTCACATATGCAACAGTCTTCATTATTCTTTTGATCAGGATGACGTCATACAATTTAATGATAGACTCTACAGACCAATATTTACTGTTTTCATAAGCAAAATTGGAATTTCTTGTCTTGTTATTTAATTAAGAATGCGAGTATATTAATTGGCTCATTTCTAACCAAGGATTCTACGTGGCTCCTTGCACCATACCTCATAGAAGGTCTCCAAAAGGTGGGGACAGTCTGGTAGCCTTGTGGTTAAAGCGTTCGCTCGTCACGACGAAGACCTGGATTCGATTCCCCACATGGGAACATTGTGTGAATCCCATTTCTGGTGTCGCCAGCCGTCATATTGCAGGAATATTAAAGGGGCGAAAAATCAAACTTACTCACTCACTCTAAAAGGTGGTAGTCGAATCTGAGAAGATGTCTGATGTAATATACCTGTTTGGACTTGTTCTGTATTAAATTACTTGTTCCTTTTCATGGATTGTGGCGGGTGCCAATAGTGGTGCAGGCTATACACATGTAATGTGTTTGTCTTCTTCACAATGGTTGACACAAATACTTTCGAAACGAAAAACACCTCGCGAAGAAAATGTATAAACACAAGAAGAATATTAATATACACTATGTGATAGTAACCCGTGAAGAGAATTGGTCTTCAGTAACCCATGCTTGTCGTAAGAGGCGACTTACGGGATCAGGTGGTCACACTGGCTGACTTGGTTAACACATGTCATCGTATCCCAATTGCGAAGATCGATGCTCATGCTGTTGATCACTGCATTGTCTGGTCCAGACTCGATTATTTACAGACTGCTGCCATATGTCAGGAATATTGCTGAGTGCGGCGTAAAACTAAACTCACTCACAATGTGATAGTAATTCATACGCACGTTCTTATGATATGAAGTCAAACAACGTCCTATGTATATCGACTTAAAGGTTGCCTCAAAGTATCAGCTTTCTTTCTTAAATCCTCTTTTTGCGGTTGTGTGGAGGTCCCATCAACTTCGACAGTATATGATCGTAGTACAGTGGATTTGAGTCTTTGCATCGCCTTATTAATGCTGTCTACCCATACTATGTTCTTGTATAAGTCGTAAAGCACTCCGAATGCGATTCCGAATCCGATTCGATGCAGACGTTGCACAGTGATTTACTGAACATTAAAATATCGGTCTTACGAAAAAATATAGATTTCCGTGTATCGAATAAAATTCACAACGAATAACGACATCAGTAATGCTTATCCACAGTCCGTGTGGCAATGTGACATGCCCAGTAACATGCAGATAGAAGCTGCACTATCGTCCCTAAAGAGTCAACAGACGTCAACACGTGTGTCGCATATTTTGTAAAAATCCCCAATAGCTCCCAGAAGGTTTGATAAACAACATGGATAATATGACATAAACAACAGCAATTGTTTCCAATATTAATAATTTAAAGGAGCTCCCACAGTACTCACCTCCTGATCAATTCTCATTCCCGTGCCTGTGGTATCGATAATGAAGGTCCCAAGAGGTCCACAATTGTTGGTGGACCCGTGGTTAGTGTAACAATCGTGTCCTTCCCCATACGGGTACAGGTTCTTCGTTGACGTTGCGAACTGATGATCACCAGACAAAATCTCCATTGTCTGTAGGAACATTAAAAATAATAAACACTCTTTGGATAAGAATGGATAAGAACAGAAGAATTTGTCCGCTATGTAAATCCGCAGTTGAGAATGAAATCCACTGTATGCTAGTCTGTCCATCCTACTCCATTCTCAGAAGCAAATATATTCCACACCCGTTTTTGTCAAAATCGCCTGCTCTAGCTTTCTCATCCTTGATGTCTTCTCAAAATGATAATGTTATTCTTAATCTGTCATTATTTATCAAACATAGTATGAGACTAAGAAATGTACTGTTAAACAGTTTAAAACGCAAGAACGAAATTTCACAATAGCTTGTCATCTTGTTCTCTCCACTATTATATATTATATACTGTATATTATTTGCAAATGTATATTTGTATGTGGGCCGGAGGCCTTAAATACAATAAACTCTTTTGACTTGACTTTGACTTTGGCAGCGTATTATTGGTGAATTGGTAGTTGTAATGTCCAATTGCTGTATATTCTTTCTGTTGTTTAATTATGTACCACAAGCAGTATCAGAAGAAAAAGCGTTCCTGTGGTGCTGCCAGCAATATGTACTTCGTAAAGCTGAGAATAGACACAAATAGCTAATAGTGTGATGCGGCTCTGTGTGAAATAGCTGTGGTTAGGTTTCTTATTCGTGGATATGATCAGAATAGGCGTGTGTCTTCAACAACTGCCAGTAGAACCTTTTTTTTCGATGACATGTGTTAACCAAGTCAGCGAGCCTGACCACCCAATCCCGTTAGTCGCCTCTTAGGACAATCGTGGGTTGCTGAAGGCCAATTCTAACCCGGATGCTCGCGGGTCCATAGGATTTAAGAGTCGCGCACCGTTTACTAGTATTTCATCATGCCACCAATTGGAACAGCAAAGTTTGTCACTGACATTATAATTAACTTTCTATCCACGAAACCGGACTGAAAATCAAATAGTTGATCAAAATATTAAAAACCGGTTACTTTATAACCTGGGAGAGCAAATTCAATCATTCTAATATCTTCTGTCTTTGGTTTAATCAGTAGACTCGGGTATTTAGTTCATACTGACAAAGCCTTCTCACTCCAAATGTACTGAGCCCGTGAAGATCCGGGTTAGAATGGATCTTCATGCTTGTTGTAAGAGGAGACTAACGGGATCAGGTGGGATCATGTGACTTCTTTGACACATGTCATCGTATCCCGCTTGCGTTGATCGATGTTCATGTTGTTGATCACTGGATTGTCTGGTCCAAACTCGATTATTTACAGACTGCTGACATGTATCTTGCATATTGCTGAGTGCAGCGCTAAATAACAAACAAACAAACGATTCACCACACGTACTGATGTATGTTTACTTACGTCAGTGTTGACCTTTATTTTGGTAAACGTTGTATCACCGCCGTGTTGTGGCCACGTCCCTGTTGATCCACAGTTATCTCTCTTAAGGTTCGGATAGTGTCCACTGTTGGGAATCACGAGTGTCACGTACTCTGACGGGGAGGGACTAGACATCCCATGGCAGTAAATCCTGGCCTTTTGGCCATTAAATGTTGGAGGGTAAAGCCAGTACTCCCCATCTCCGTGACCACTCTCACAGCGTTTCACCTCGGCACACGACGAGGGACCTAGGAACATATGTACATGTTGTAAATATACTGAGAGAAAGGAGAATAAATAAGGAACACTGCCATGAAGTGGTGTTCCCATAATTGTTTCCTTCAGTGTATTAGTGCCTCGCGATACGTATCTTGATACTATGGTCACGGTATGATACGTATAGCGATACAACATTTCCGACATAACAAGAACCCATTACCTGGATGGCAAGTTGACACCATAGCTCACCAGTCCCAAAATAGTTGGGTAGAAATTACTGTAGAAAGGAAGTATCCAGCCAAGTATCCATCATCCACATTCACCAAATCTAGTGACATTGGATGTACGGTATAACAAATTTACAAAAGAAAAATATTCTAAGTGCACTTTCAATAATGTCCTATTTGTAGTTAACAATACAATAATTTCTTCTTCAGATTCTACCTGTTTAGTAAAAAATATATTCACTGAACTGAGACAGCTTTAAGCAGTCCTTGCAGTTAATACGTTACTGTACCATGCAAATTGCAGAATTCTATTTGAATGAACTCTTTGACAAACCTTTAATCAATAACTAAAGGTTTTTCATAAAGATGCTCATTCTCTCGAGAATGTAACGTAGAAAAACCCGCTGGTACCATCTGTCAATGTATATGAACTAGCTTTTCACAATTTCAAATTTATATAGAGAATCTCACCCGAGTGTCTTTTGATATCAAATATATCACCACGAATTGATAAAGTTACAAATATACCTTGGTTAATATATTTGATATCAGAAGACACGAGGGTGAGATTCTATTTATCATCAAAAATCACTCTTCATTAGTTTTCATTGAAAAAAGTACATCTCTGACCACCGTTCTGCCATTAGACTTGCAGTGCAGCGATGTCATAGCATTGTGATGTCATCATACCCATGACGTCATAGCATTGTCAGGGTATTGTACAAAATCTACTGTCAAAACGATATCTTCTAGGAGATATCGTTTGATCTCATACAAGCGATATCTCCTGTGGAACACAGTTTTGGATGATAAACATAAATATCACTACTTCACATCTCACAGTTCATACTCTAGTTCTAAGTCAATGACCTTTATGAGAAACATTATCCAATAAAACAAAAATCTCCCAAAAATGTAACATAGAACTAACCTGTACTAAAACTTGTAACTCTAAATGCAGGTAAACTACAATCAGATGCACATACATTTCTTCAGTTGTACATATTTTCTTTAAATGTCATAACTTCTTTGTTAAAGATCTTTGTTGGGTACATAGTTTGAACGACCGCAAACGTAAAATATTCAAATATTTTGGGTTTTATGTCGAATAATAATTAATGTACTATATTCATGGTACAAAAACATATCTACACACTGGAATAGGGACATATTCAGCACTTGACTCCAACTCAAAAAATGACCTCTCGGTAATTTTCTTACAATACTAAAACCTGTAACCTCCATCACGATGGAATTTTGAAAAGGCTAACTGTCCTTTATATGAAACTATGTGTGCTGACAAACTGTTTATTGATGTTCCTGATGCTTTTTGCTTTTTATTTATTTATTTATTTTATTTTTTTTGGGGGTGGGGGTGGGGGTGGGGGTGTTCTGATGATCTGAATACCATACCTGATGGGTGTCCTTTGCAATTTCACATATTAAAAAACATGGTTTAACAATGTGTGCAAACAACCTAGGGAGGCAAAGGAATAGAACATCATTTCCGTCGCCATCATATGGTCCATGATTTAAACAAATTCAAAAGTTGAAATTCGAAATCGCGGCGTACCTTCAAACAATGTAAACGCCAATCTTGTCAAAATTATGTATCCAAGGTAATTTTCGAACGCCCATGTGCAAGGTATGGAACATGGTACAGATTATTAACAGTAAGTGTACTACATCTAGCGTCCACCATCTTCAACACAGAGATCAATTAATTACCGATATATCAGATATTGGGTGAAACTCTTGCTAAACACTCTTCTTTCAAAAATATAAAAAACATCAAGAACAGAAAACTATTAATATCAATTCAGATAAGGGGAAGATTATAATGAAAAATTTTCTATTCATGAGCTCCTTACTGCTCTTGAACATGCTAACGATGCTGCCAGGGGAGCTGATAACATACATTATCAACTCCTGATACACATACCAGAATTCTGCTTCGATACTCTGTTAAATATTTCCGATGATATTTGGACGTCATGGAAATTTCCTTCATAGTGGCGTGACGCTATAGTAGTCCCAAAACCTCAACCTGGTTGTGATAATAAATTATCGACCAATTGCACTAACTAGCTGCGTTTGCAAAACTATGGAATGCATAAGGAAGAACACGTTTGTGGATCGACAACTTCTTTATTGCAAAAATGCGACGTGTTGGTGTACATCCTAACACTGTTATCAAGCACCATCATTTGCTTGATAACAGTGTCCATAAAATGTGTTCCTTCTCATCATACCAGCTGCTCAATGCCACTTAAAGAAGTTATGGAACGCACGATCAACAATCGACTAGTTTGGCACTAAGTAACCCATAACTTAATAACAATTCTCTGTGGTTTCCATAACAATAGAAGTACCATTGATCACTTAGTGCGTTTAGGATCATTTGTTAAAAACGCTATAATTAATGAACAACATGCAGCGTCTCTCACTTTCGATTTCGAAAAGCATACGACACTACATGGAAATAGGGCAGTTTTGAAAGATTTACATGACTTTGGATTGCGAGGCCGTTTGCCATAATTTATAGCCAGGTTTTTAAATGACGGGCAATTTCAAGTCTGCGTGAGTTCTACCCTGTCTGATCATTACATTCAGGATCAGGGTGTCCCACAAGGCAGTATTTTGTCTGTCACATTATTTAGTATAAAGATTAATAGTTTATCCAAAGTTTTAAACGATCCAATTGATGGGTCGTTATTTGTGGATGATTTTACTATTTTCTGTCATGGCAAAAACATATATACTATTTAAACTGCAGTTGTGTTTAAATAAAATTGATAAATGCATAATGTGTTTAGAAAACGGATTCAAATTTTCAAAATGAAAAAGTAATTGTTTCCATTTTGTAGAACATATTAACCCGACCAGGATCCGGAAATAATGTTAGACGGTACACGCATGAAAATTGTAAAAGGGGCCAAGTTCCTGGGAATGATTTTCGATCAACATTTGACCTTCGGTCACGTATAAAATATTTTTTAAAAATGCCTGAAGGCACCAGATATATTGAACATTGTTTCAAACTTGAAAACGTATCTCCTCACTCGCATTTTGTGAGACCACAGGTGGATCTCACACTTACAAAACTTAAAACATCTGAAACTAACCAACTTATCTACAAACAAGAATACAATCAATTAAAACACACGTTTGTACCCACAAATCTATCTTCACGGATGGATTCAAGGATAGTGCTTATGGCACTATCGTTGTATCCAGAATAATTTCTTCAAGAACAGTTCCATTTATCTAGCTAAAGCAAACGCCATTTTATCTGCTCTTAAATATATCAATAAAGCAGTCTAAATGTAAACAATACATAATATGTTCATATTCTGTTTCTTGCCTGCAAGTCCATAAAAACATGTCATCGAAACATCCACTTTTAATCGAAATTCTTGAATTACACAATGATCTGGCCATCATAATCATCATACTAATATTTCTATAGCACCAATATCCAGCTCAACTGATCAAAGGCGCTTTCTTTTTCCCTAGGTCATTGGATGTCAATCTCAATGGCACATCCTACTTTCAATCTCAACTCCCTGGGGAACATACAACTCGTGGAGCCACTAGGCGCATCAAGTCAATGTGACTTTCCCATCCTTACGAATTACCCATTCACAGCTGGGTGGAGTGGGGCACACAGTCACCGTACTTTGTCCAAGTTTACAGCACGTTGCTGTACCGGCAACTAGGTGTTTGGACATAGTCATGTGGCCACCATCTGGTCATTTACCAAAGAGTTCGTTTTAAGTGCATAGGGTTGGGTACTGTACACTAGGGGTTGTGACAACACTGAAAGAGCCTGCACACAAACTTGACTCCAAAGGTTTTACACCCGGTCACAGGTGGGCTCGATCCCGGCACCTCAAGCTCACTGGATGACTTGCCTGGCGCCTCAGACAGCTCGCCAACCACGCCCCCAAAACGACATCGTCTTCTGTTGGTTAGCCAGCCATGCTGTAATTTTGGGTAACACACAAGCCGATTCTGCCGTCAAGGCAGCTCTCAACAATTCTGTGACAACACTTGTGATACCTTACAGTGACTATAATAAGAAGTTACATAAGGGATCTAATGCAAAAGGAGACAACCAAGTAGGTATAAATAAATCAGATGCAATAAAGCCAAGTATCTGTTACACGTACTTGAGCTGTCAGTGCGGATTTGATTAGGTCATTTAAAAGGATGCCGTATTGACCATTCCAGATATACTCATTTTTGCCAGATTTGGATCCTCCATTTTGTATCCCTTGCGATGACAGAATGGTCAAGCATGTCCTGCTCGACTACATCACAAAGGATACATATTGTTTAATGTAAGTTAGATTTTAATCATTGGAGGTTTCAAAGAAAATTAATTAATACATACTTTTTAAACAATATGTTCTGTAAATAGATAAATGATCATTTATGATCGGTAGATTGAATTAGCAACCGATATAGTTAGTGGTTGTGTCCTCAAAGGGCTTAAAATATTGTAAAAAAATTGTCCTCCTGAGAGGGCACGTAAGTCCAAAACCTTTCAAAGTAAAATTTAGCTCTACTAAGCTTTTAATTGCAGTATATTTTTTGTTGTAAGCTATGGCTACATCCCCGTACTATCGCCAGCGGCTGAAGAGATGGTGTAAATCTAGCTAGGGTCCAAGTAGGTAGCAGAGGTACTGTTGGTCCCTAGTATAGTTATCTACCGTCAGTTTGCTGGCGATCTACAGCCAGTATTTTAATTGTATTAAATGTTATATGTAATGTTTGTGTTAAATAGATTATTTTAATTTTTGAAATGGTTAGCTTTTAGACATTAGACATGCCGCTAAATATGAAAATCCCTCAAACCTCGGTGCTCATGATGCCAATCACTGGAACAAACTCGAGCATTTACTGGCCATTATCCTATAGCTTAGAAATAGCAGCAAACAAACAAAACGTTCTCATGATACAATAACAGATGACAGAAAATGAAAAGTCTACAACTAATACTAAATATCCTTGACAAGAGAATTTGATTGTTAAATTACATGACACCCAGTGGTTTAGATTAATCAGGACTTTAAATGTTTTCCGTTTTCTAATTATGCACTCACGTTTGCAAGTCATTGTTGACCAGTTTCCACTGATGAGACAGCTGACATCATTCTCTGTGTCTGGTATCCGTCCTGTGTTGCAGTCATAGGTAACAACCTCGCCGACACTATAAGGTTCCTTCGTAGCGTCGAACAACTTGACGCTGTGTTCAATAGTAGGACCAACAGAGCATTCTGAAAAGACGAAAACGTATGGTGCAAACATATCATGTATAACTCTGATGCAAAGTTTGCGTTGCTTGTTCCTGAAACTCTTGCTGATCTTAATGATGAAGGAAAACTAAGTTCTATGGATAGCCACTTGCTTTATTGCAACGTGTGCGACGTTTCGGTGTAGGTACTAACACCATTATCAAGCAGGTGATACAACAATTTGAAACAAGGAGAATATATACATTGCTGCATAGTGAGTATATACAATTAACGAGGTTGATGTACATTGGATATTTGATTAGTGATTTCAGCAGAGGAGGTTGATGTACAGAGTGATTGATTGTGATTAAAGTTGAGTTTATACAATTGATGAGTTGACGTACAATGAGATGATAATAAGTAAGTAATTTGAAGTACACTAGCTGTGATTACAAGCACAAAGGGGAGCGTGGAAGCCAGATGGACAAAGGAGGTATGTAAGGATTACTGGCGGTGGTGTTTGATTAGGTGGTGATAGGCCGAGGAGATGAAATAACCTTGATCTTCCGGTAAATATATTCGCCTCTTCAATTCGCATTCGGGAACCCCCTTGGGAATGAAAGAAAACTATGATGGCATTTTAGCCTGTGAGATAAGTTGTTTAACTCAACATTTTCCTTGAAGACTGAATGCATAATGCATGATTTCAATTTAACTTCGTTTCAACAGTGACAAAGATCTTAACTTTCATGAGAGCATTTTATTGATTCTAGGATCTGTTGCTTATTGCTGCTGATGCTGCCCATATCGAAAATTGTACTGTCAATGAGATTGTGAAAGCGAAAACTGTGTTAAAATTTGGCGATTTCCCTTTTACATTTATCTTGTGTCTTGTGTGTTCAGTACTTTGCTAATTATGTTCTGTACTCATAGATGTCGCGGTTATGAGGGTTATATTTTGAAAATCTAATCCTGTTGAGAAACTAAAACGTATAGCAAATTTGTATCATCTATGCTTTGTCAGACCACACGGCATTGTTCCCTTTATGCGAATAGAAGTACCCAGAGTGGTTACACTAACAGATTGATGTCAATTCAAAATTTGCAATAATGACCACTAATAAATATACTGAGAGAAACAAATAAAGGATCACAGAGAAATTCGAACGTTCCTTTATTATTTTTCCGCTTTTCATCACCACAGTGCTATTCAAAGCTGGTGATGAAAACTGGAAAATATTAAAGGAACGCTTGAATTTTCTGTGATCCTTTATTTGTTTCTCTCAGTATATATAAGCAGCCAGTAATCATGAGCACATACCACATTCATTTGCAACAAACGTATTTCGTACGCTAATTCACCTAAGTTACATAGGGGTACTGCTGTCAATCACTCTTCAATGTGCTTCGCCGGGTGGACCTGGAGGACCAAATACTTTATGACTGCTCTGTACTCAAGCGTATCCATTTCTGCCGTTTCAGTGGAGTTGCACGTGATTAGATGTCACGTGACCGGAAATTAGCGACAAGTGTATGTCAATATTATGTTTATGTGAATGATATAAACCACTCTTCGATATTATGCAATTATTTTTAGCATGCACATTTCAGAAGTATTTTAGATTCAAAACGTTTTGATAGCCCCTCGTAATGCTCGTATCGTTCTCAAAACAATGGTGACAGATAATTTTCCAAGAATGTACCATGAATTAGATAATCATGAAAAGTCTCCCTTGCCGGCTCTTTCTGAGTGCAGGTGTCGAACCGGCGTATTCCCATACTGCCTAAAGTTCCAAACTGCCTACAGGTTAAAACAACATGATACGGCCCAGTGATCAGGAAGTGAATACACCGATCTACCCCTGCTAAAATGAACTTGACTAGTTAGCTGGTTAATTCTATGGTGTCTTCCCACTTTGCCTACAGACGTTTAAGAAAATGACAAGTGTTGGTTGGTAGGACATCTTTATTGATTCTGAGAATTCTCAGACTTTACATGGAGACATGGTTTTAGTCTTTCAGTGGTTTTACAGTCTTTTCACCCACAACTGACAATCACTTTGCAAACTGGGAGCGTCTGCTTTGTAAGCCAAGCAGTCAACTGGAGCTGAATGCAATATGCAAACGCCAAATGCTTTTTAGGTACAAACGATGCAGGGTTAAACGTGCAGTGTTATCGACTTTCCACATCATCATTCTCTACATCCCGAATCAAACACTATATTTAGTGACACTTTCTGTTACTCCGTACTTTTACATAATACAAATATAACTTCAGTACTTGATAATACTTACTTCTACTCAGATATTGGATTACACTTCGTAATATACAAATTTAACTACCCCTATTACAAGGATAAATTGCACGGCACCGCTGGAAGGCTTGGAAACCTACTTTTGAATTTTCGCTGGATAAATAGGAAATGTTAAAGGGTATATTTGTGTTTCTACACATGAAGCTGAGTTCTTGATGAGAAATCTTTGTTGGTTGTTTAATGACACATTCATCAATATTTCTGTCATGGTGGTTGTTTCAAAATAATCGAGGTTGGGCCATAAAATCCAGTGATAAATATCATGCGCTTCGATTGACGCAATTCAGACAAGATGAAATGCATCAAGTCAGTCTCCCCTGACCAAGCGAAGACGAATTCTATACCGGATCAATATACAAAAAGAAGCTTCACATGTGTTAATGTCCCAAACGTACCCATAAAGAACAAAGTATGTTGCTAGTGGATAACTCTAACTCCATGAACGTCACCAGCTCCTGGACAAGGACCTAGTCACGATATCCCGCGAGGTTCACACGAATTACGAGAAGACATGAGCGCACGTTCCAGCAGAAGGCTCACCAAACCATTACGCTTTCGCCACAACATCTATCAACTTCCTGCGCACTGCGCATGGTGCCCACCACTCCGACGCTACGCTCGCACTCTTCCATTGGCAAATGTCATCGTATAACGCGATTCGTCGCTAAACACGATCGTCTCCAGCGCAGGTGCTATTATGCCCATCGCAGACGTTCATTGACGATCACCTGTGTCAGAATCGGCCCAACATCAGGACGCCAGGCACGAAGATGGGAAGCGCACAAACGGTTTGTATGGTTTGGACAGTTACGCGACCCCTCAACAGCGTGTTACTGGTTGACGTTCCGGTCGTAAAACGTAGCCGAATTAGATTGTCCTCAGCACGTGATGTCACACGGGGCGATCAGATGTCGTTCCTGTTTGATGCGTGTCCTCTGATTGTGAATTGTCTCATGACCCGTGCAGCAGCCACACAAAACTGGCCAGCCTCGAGCATGCCAACTGAACGTTCACGTTCAACATTTGTAAAGTGTACATGAGAATCCTTCTCTCAAGGATTGTTAGCGCGTGTATACTAACCACCAGCAAATGCTGCACACATGTTGGTTAGGCATATGAAATTATGGTCACGTGACCCGAACACGTGCAGAGTCGCGTTTGTACAAAAGAGCATGCAGCATGCACCTACGTGGTTCAGCACTCTTGAAATGGGAGGATGTGCCAGGTCAGACCTAGCCATAATGTTATTCTCCCTTGACTACTACCATGTATAACCCATTCTCAATATGGGGCGGTTGGGTAGCCTAATGGTTAAAGCGTTGGCTCGTCACGCCGAAGACCCGGGTTCGAATTCCCACATGGGTGCAATATGTGAAACCCATTTCTGTGGTCCCCCGCCGTGATGTTGCTGGAATATTGCTAAAAGCGGCGTAAAACCAATCTCAGTCAGTCAGCCATTCTCATTATAATTCATTACTCCAAATGTGAAGCTTCTTTTTCAGTATTAATAACGCTGTGAAGGTTCTCACATCCATAAGTCAACATAACATACCAGAACTGTGAACAAAGCTAATTTTATACCGTTCTACTGAGGTACTATCCAGACACTCCTATGCTGGATTCCCTTCGATACATTATCTAAGGCACGGTCAGTGTCACCCAAAAACCTCTTGGCACCTAAAATGTTGTCAGAAAAGGGCAAATGTATAGATGAACAACTTCTTTGCTCAGGTGATGCGACGTTTCGATACAGATTATTGTAAAGTAAGACAACAAGATTCTGTATCGAAACGTCGCATCACCTGAATAAAGAAGTTGGTTGTTCATCCATAATTAATTTCCTTATCTAACTTCTAAATATGCTACTCAAAGAAGTTAAAATGGTGTTCTTTCTTTTCCTCCTTCAACACGTTTACAGCCATACAACCTCTGATAGGGTACCATGCCCTAAGTGGTCTAAATCGACAAGATGAAGAGGTGTTCAGAAGGTGTTGAAATGAACACTCTTATTATAGTCACTCATGTTGTTTTTTTCTGAAGGGAGAGGATCCCCCTCAATGTATTCCGTGTCACAGTACTGTGCCTGTCAAGCACCTATTTGGGAAGGTGTGGATTTTTCGCTCATACGCCAACGATTGTATACTGCTCCAACTATTTCTGTTTTTTTGAAAGCAATTAAACTTTATGATAAGACGTACATTTTAAATTCTGACCGTCAGTTTTTACTATTGACTGAGATATGGACTGACGTTTTAGTTATCTTCGTCATCACTTTTATTGCCTATTCTTTTGCAGAGGAACATATTTGTCTTTCTAGCCGCAAATAGCTGCAGAATTGCTGATGCGGCTTTAAGCAACATTTACTCATTCACTCACTCAATCAGCACGTTCACAATGACACAACATAAGAGACGAAGATATAGTTATTTAAGATCAGTTAATTGCCCACAAACATATGACAAGTCCATATCGTATTCTTAATTCAATTAAGGATGACATTTAATCCCTATCACAAAAGTTACCTGTGGGTTTCCTAAAGTAGGTTGTTCCGTCACTGACATTCCCAGTCGGTTCCAGAAATATCGTAGAATGAATCTGACAAAACGAACTTCCTTGGTTGTAGTAGAAAGACCAGCAGGCTGGGTGCGATCCGCAGTTGGCAGCGCACTCTGCACGCGGAACCCCGCTAAATTCTTTGAGGATGTTCTCATAGTTAATGATTCCATCGTAGGTTGCCATGTATATCCACGAGAAATTACTTTCTGAACATAGTGTTGCCAGCGAAACATACAACTTTAGAACCAATGTTATAGCGATCGTCAGAATCATAGTCGGACAATGGTACTGCCCAGGAAAGCAGCGAAGACGTTATCGTGCATAGAGACAGCACTCACTGAATGTCCTTCGACTTGTCACTAAGAAACATGGTCGCGAACCATGACGACATGACTACTATAGGGAATATTGACATGTACGTTTGTTCGCCTGGCATTACGTCCTTAAGGAATTATAACAGTTGAGATGTCACTCAATTAGCTATACGTACTAGTTTGTCTTTGTTCAGTGTCAGCTCATCCAGTAGACTATTGCTGGCATTGTTATCCTGCATGTGTTTACAGTAATTTATTGTCTAAACAGGACAGATCATGTGTTACTTGTCAGGCATGTCCTACTTGACTGCATTGAATTTTCCATCACAAGGGATAACTATTTCAAAACGCCGTCCATGAATGGTATTTTTGATAATATTAGTTTCCTTCAGATCTTGATATTTTGAAAGAAATAGAATTGTTTGAAAATATTGGATCAATATGTTTTGTAGATAGAGTTATTTTATGATAGGCAGTTTATATCAGCAGCTGAGATTGTTTGTGGCTGTGTGCTCAAAGGGCGTTGAAGTACTATCAAATGGCCATTCCCCTTGAGAGGGTGCGTAAGATCACGTCGTTAAATGTATATTTATTCGTACCATGTTTTGGTGGGTTTTTTTGTTTTTGTTTGTTTGTTTGTAGCCTAGTGGTTAAAGCATTCGCTCGTCCCGCTGAAGACCCGGGTTTGACTTCCCACATGCGTTCAATGTGTGATGTCCACTTCTGGTGTCCCCCGCCGTGATTTTGTTGGAATATTGCTAACAGCGGCGTAAAACATACTCACTCACTCACTCGTACCATGTTTTAATCGTAGAATATCTGTTCCTTCATTCCATGTATAAATGTGTCAAATTCTCTAACATCTGAAGGGATGGTGAGTCGACCTGGGGTCCATGCAAAAGGTGGCCGTGGGTCCCAGTGGTCTCTTGTGTGGTGAACTGTCTTCGGGTGTTATAAGTAGAATAAACCCTTTCCACATTCATAAGAAATCTCTGCCAAAGACACAGTGGATTGTACAGTTGTGACTATATCATGAGCTGATATTTGTTGCAGCAGTATTACACAGCTGTATGGTGTTGTTTGTAAACAAATCGGATCTGAACCAGACAATCCAATGATTGTTACCATGCGATACGATAACAGAGCATGTGTATATGAATCACTATGAAATAGTGATGATACCAGGTGTTCGCGTATCCTCCGGTGAGTGTATCCTGCCCCACCGGTGGCACCCGTCATAAACATATGCTAAGTCTAGTCATTTGTTTTCCTCAAATAATTCTAGAACGTATGGCATGTCAAAATAGGGAATTGCATCGGACATCATTTTTGTCACTGATGCATCAAATGTGGAACTTTCCTCAAATTTATATGTCTACCATTTATTCACCTGGAATAGTTCGGGAACGTATGGTATAAGTCAAAATAGGGAATTGCATCGGACATCATTTTTGTCACTGATGCATCAAATGTGGAAATTTCCTCCACATGTCTACCATTTATTCACCTGAAATAGTTCGGGAACATGTGGTATAAGTCAAAATAGGGAATTGCATCGGACATCATTTTTGTCACTGATGCATCAAATGTGGAAATTTCCTCCACATGTCTACCATAAAACCTTTCGAAAGCTTGTAACCTTGATCAAACATCTTCTGAGCAAGAGTGGCATGACGCTCTTTGGAATCCTGATAAAAAGAGGCATGCTCACGATGTGGCTTAAATGCTATGACAGTAGTCCCTTCTCTCACCTACTTATTGATATTTGTGTCCCTGTGCTTGCGTACATCAATGTTTACAGTCAACGTTTAGCAATTACAGCTCCCTCACACATTGTCCATGGCAAAAACTAAACAGTAGTTAATTAAGTTCCTTGCGTGTAGCACATCTGCAAACAAGATGATCACAATTAGTAATTGCGTGTAAAAAATACGTTTCATTACTATTAATGACTACAAATGCCAGTAACTAGGCTTTGATTTGTCTGTCATTATTGCTACCTGGAAATCTATTCTTCGTATATTGTTACCCAAGGGATGAACGTTCTGGTGTTGTAATGCAGAATCATAAGCGTGTCGTTCTAGTTTCACTTCGTGTCATTCGTTTTGATTGCATAGCCGGGGCCAAATTGGAATCATTTATCTCAATGTATGTTCCTTCAGCAATCCCGAGGCAGTTATATACTTTCGAGAGCTATTTATAAACACTTCACATAAATACTTTATACACTTTATTGATATGGATTTTGCGTGTTCCTTGTCTAACGCTGTAATCAGCAATGTTCCACCTATAGTGGCTTGTTAGGTACTGTTTAGTTTCATTCTGGGAAACAAGAAAGTTTGAAACTTGACAACCACATCGTTGGTAATGAAGTTGAAGGGCAGGGGTGTAATTACTTTTAGTTTATGCCCTACACAAGACAATGCCGTGTAGGATTTTGGAAGAATGAAAACACATAAAATACAACAAAGCGATCGCAGGTGCACTGCAATGCTGACACAATTACAAAGACATTGCTGAACAAAAATTCATCAAAATATCACGTTTATTCAAGTTTATCAAGCGAGTATGCCACGACTCACAGATCAGCACAATTTGTGTGCCATTGGTAGGCGTGATAAAAGACAATCCGTTGCTACAGTTTCATGAGTCCTCGGCTGAAGGCGTCAGACTGTACAACCGTTGCAGATGGCCCAAGGAGTGACGTTACACAGATATGACGAACAGATCAGGTTACGTTATGTCGGCAACAGATTTGTGACAACAATTGTTCAGAGGTGGAGTGTCAGCACGACCCATTAGGAATCGTTGAAGATGTCCCAAGGTGTGACGTTACACATATATGACGTACAGATCAGGTTACGTTATCTAGGCAACAGAAATCGACTGCACACTGCAAATGTCAGAGCTAGGCGACCATACACAGAGCCTACCCTGACGCAAATGTATCGTGCTCAACGTTTACGATGGGTCCGCAGATATTCAAACAGAAGGCAGCTGAACAGGATTGGCTTCAGTGACGAGTCAAGCTTCACACTGCGCTTTGCCGGTGGGATTGTACGCGTGTGGCGCAGGGGAGGCATTTTGTGCCAAGGGTCCACAACTAATTGTCGCCCAGGAGGATCTTACTGCAATACAGTAAGTTTAGACTCCAGTCCCACGAATACATATGCAACTACTAACTACTATTTCGCCATATCATCACAGCGCCCCCATACTGCAGTTCTTACACGCAGTTAACATAATGTTTATGTGATGGACTTGTCTTCCCGTTCCCAAGACTTGACTGACTGACTGAGTTTGGTTTTACGCCGCTTTTAGCAATATTCCAGCAATATCACGGAGGGGGACACAAGAAATAGGCTTCACACACCACAAAACCACCACCCACCCCAACCCCCCCCAAGACTTGAACCAATACGAGTCATCGATAGTCAAAATCATTTTACACAACAGCTGACATCATTTTTTGTTATATTCTTCCTTCTATTTTTGCCAACATTACTTGACAGTTCTGGAAAAGCTTTATTTTCTTTGGGGTATGCTCTCAATGTATGCCACCATTGCCCTTAGCCGTTCGTTCATGAATATATCATCAGTTTACCGTTTACACATACAACCCTCGATGATGCTTACATGTAACTGAGTATTCTGACATATCCATAAACGTTTGAGTTGTAACAATATGTAATTCACAACAAATCTAGCATTATAGGCTATGTCACTAGTAAGCCGTGAAAGATTTATTCTGCTCCTTCTCTTCATCATGAAAAAGTTTGTTTTGTATTGAAACCACAAAGTCTGTTTCCTCGTGTTTCCTGTGAGTAGCTTTGATCTCAGTACTACGGTAACTTTCGGACCACCTCGTAGACTATTGGAAGTAGAGTTGCCGTGGATACACTAGGTTCTAGACGAAACAGAGAAACAAAACATACATCCTGTCACAGACCCCTTTCAGCATGAATACAATAATATCGATTAACATGTACATAATCCAGTTGTGTCAAGCCAGTGATTGAAGAGTGAGTGAGTGAGTTTAGTTTTGCGACGCTTTTAGCAATATTCCAGCAATATGAAGGGACACCAAAATGAGCTTAGCACCCATGTCGGGAACCGAACGCGAGGTTTCAGCGTGAAGCGCGAAAGGGATTGCAGACATGGCAAACGGCACCCAAATATTCTTACTAAATTATAATGAAATACACTGACTACTGCGATGAATAATAAACGAAAACTGCCCCCTGCTACTGCAGTGATGTAACACAGTGATGCTATAATGGCCACTTTATAAGTTATTGCTATATGCTATAGACTTTCTACATTCCTCTGATGCTTCCACAACCTATCTATGTTTGTTGTTTTACAACAGCGTTAAGTCTGAACATATCATTATCATTTAGGTACCATGATGGAATACCGAGTGGTCAAAGAGTTCGGCACAATGGTACAATGTGTGACACCCGTGTAGATCCGAGTTAGGATTGGTCTTCAGCAACCAATGCTTGTCGTAGGAGGCAACTGATGGGATCGTGTGGTCAGGCTCGCTGACTTGGTTGACACATGTCATCGTATCCCCATTTCGTAGATCGATGCTCATGTTGTTGATCACCGGATCGTTTGGTCTAGACTCGATTATTTACATACCGCCACCATACAGCTTGAATATTGATTAGTGCGGCGTTAAACAACAAACAAACAACAAAGTCAGAATGCGACATTGTTTGAAGAAACTGGATGTTTGCTCAAAGCGGCGTAAAAACATACTCACTCACTATCATGATACAAACAGTGTCTGAGAGGTGAGTGTTTAACACTACTTTTAGTATACAGTGTATAAGATGAAGTCCGTGTTCTACCATCTGGAATACACAATGCCATTTAGAAAGTGATCAAATGTAGCACATATTATATTTGGAATTAGTAGTACTAGTACTTTGGTTAGGTTGAGTCCCACACGAGATTAGAACCCACACCCTTAGAGTGAGGCACTTAGTCGCCAGCACACAAAGTCAGCAATCTAACCCACTCAGCCGCCTTGTGTGCTGGCGATTAGGTGCCTGACTCTTAGAGTGTAATCCCAAATAGTCCTTCCCCTACCATCTGGTTTATATGACTGAAGCGTGAGCACCCCATCAGGAACGCATCCTCCGCAGTATCCTCCACAATTCAAGTTCACAACCAAACCATTGTTCTCGCGGGCGAAGATAGTCCACGGCATCCAGCCGGTTGACTTCCAAGAGAGCTGAAAATGTAGAAGATTAAGGGTTGATATGAGAAGGCACCTTATGATCAGATATAAGAAAATTGTTTATCCCTCTAACAAAAAAATATGTGTTTGCTATTCATTTGTTCATTGACAATAATAATCTCAGGATCTGTACAAAAGTGTAAATCATACAAACATCGGTGATAACCATGTTTGCTGTATACCGTACTTGATTAACGATGGACATATTTTCCCCCCTTTTTTCAGACAAACCCATTACGATCCGACTAAACATATTAATTTACTCATGGAAATGACTAAGGGGACACCTGGAAGTACAGGTGTTCCTATTTTCTTTTCACAAGCTTTGCATTGCACTGTTGGTGAAATTCTGGAAAAGAATAAAGTAAGAGTATATTAATATGTTTAGTCAGTAAATGTAACAGACTCAAACAACTAGTGTAACAATTGATGTGTGTTTTTGTTGGGTTTGTTTTCTTTTGCTTGATAAAAACGATTTTATGGCATCGTATGACAAGAAAATGCACAATTAAAGCTATAATGACTGGTTTCAATATTTTAGCTGGGGTACAGTTTGTACATTTAATTTTAACATAGTTCAAGATACTTCTGACTTGAAATCATTAACATATACTAGTATATAATTCGCTAGTGTGTTTCGGGGATATTTCCTTAATTTGGTAACAATTTTCCTGCTATTTAGGTTTTCAAACAAACATGTTCGATGGGGTTCTTATCGGGGCTGCTTGTGGGCCATGGTAATGTGTATATGGCGTTGTATAGGAAATTCGTCATCCGTGGAAATAAGACCACCGGCAATGAGATGGTTATCAAAATGTGGTACGACGGCAGTATCCGTTACTTTCTGTTGATAACTGTGACCGTTTCCAAAGTGAATTGATGAGATCCAACTTGCAGTCTAAAGAACCGCAACCCCACAACATCACTGAGACATTACCTCTATTTCTAGTACTGCTGTCCTCTGAATCAGTTCGGGAAGATATGGTGTACATACAATTATGGTTGGTTATTTGGTAGGTTGTTTAAGGACAAGCATGGGTTGCTGAAGACCACTTCTAACCCGGATCGTCACGGATATCACATATAATTATGAATATGTACACCCCAATGTGCAAGAGGTCTTCAAGCACGTTAACATGCGACCCATATCTTTAGAGATAATAAGTGAAGCATGTGTAAAACATTCCAGTATGCTAGCGCTTGAACGATTGTTTACAAAAAATGATAGAAATCGTCCTTGGATTCAGGTCTTGCTAAATGTATGTTCATGTATGTGTTCATTAAATGACTAAATTGCGCTCATAAACAACTTACAGTATATGAACACGTTCGCTTTCATATTTGTAAATAAATGTAAAATTCTTTCATAAAGCACTAGTCGATGAGCGAGCATTGTGTGACGTCTCATCCTAATCCATGCAGTCAGTCGTGGCAAATCTTAGAACGAGAGTGACATTAACAAGTTGGTGACACGTGCTGGAGAACATATTCGTATCTGTCGGTTCGTGAACAGGAACCGTTGAACTCTATTGGGGCAAGATGATTTTTTTATATTTACAAGAATACAGATTCGAGTGTATTTCCTTACTTAAAACATAGCCTTAGTTTCCAAAACGTACATTGCATCCTCTTATTGACAACACATAAATAACAGATTCCTTAGTCACTAACGGTAACATATTCATCATCTTGAAAGTTGAGCTCCTAGAAATAATTTTATTCATAATGTTTAATCGCTCATGTCGAGACCGTCTATTAAACATCCCCAAGGCATGATTTCGCTATGTTTAGTAGATAGAGTATACAAAATTTGAAATCATTACTTAAGAGCCAAACAATAGACCATCTTATCATATGCATTAATATTTTATGAGGCAAGTTTATAATGTCTAAAGCATAAAAAGGTATAGTACGACATGTGTAATTACATTGTAGTACCATAAGTAATTAGACGAGTATATGGATGACAACTTCTTTCTTCTTTATTGTATAACACGACGTTCAAAACATACTATATTTACCAGAATTACAGGAAGCCAGAGAAGTACATGTATACACAATGAATGAAAGGGCCGATGAAATGCAGTTATAAAAACTCCTATATATTCATCAACTTCTAAATGCCTCTCAAGAATCTCCTTAGTAATTAGTTACTAGATAAATTACTTTACTCGTTAATTATATTATACACCGTAAAGTTTTAAAATAAAAACATAGAGTGAAACATAAGGAGTTAATAAGTTGGAAATGTTGGATTTTTACGAATGTAGAGCTTTTTGTCCAATTCTATTTTGAGTTTAATTTCCTCACAAAAAAGAGTAATAAATACATTTTGTACAACCAGAAGTAGGTCGAACACAAGGTCTGCAATATACTTGATCACCTAGCCCTGAACAGAGATGACTGTCAGGAATCATAAGCCTAACACAATGTGTACCATATCGCAATTATATCAGCATCACTGTTATTAAATGGCAGCGGTCGTGAACCACATACTACTGTTCAAATGAAATCCATTAAAACCTTTTGTAAAGTACAAAGCAACGTGTTTCCGTTTTCTTCAGTTATCACAATTACTGCCTAAAGGCAGTTCTCGCACCACCGATGAACACAGGTGGTGTCAGAGAAACATTTTTGATTCCTGTGATCATTTTGTATAAACTTACAAGTATTTCAGCACAACGAATAAATATGTATGGAGACATGACGTCTCCTTGCTGACGTCCTCTATATATAGTCCACTCGCATGAATGTATATCATTGTGAAAGGTGCTGACCCAACGGACAAACCAAACTCAAAAATGGTGGTAAGCTCTGACATTACGGAGCGCACAGTGTAATCGTACAATATCATTTAACACTTCAGTCGTAGTTTTTTGTTGCCTATGTTTGTTGTATACAGTCGCACACAGCAACATTCTAGCCACATGCTACATACTTCCACGATAATCAACTCTAGATCAAGTAATGAAGTGATTCGCACTATGAACATTGATCTACGCAACTGGGACACACGGACATGCATCAGCTACGTCACCCAGTTCGTCGCCAATTACGACAAGAATGGGTTGCTGAAGATTTACTGTCAGCCGGATATTGACGGATAGAGATTATGCGAAATACTTCTCATGGACCCCAGTGACTCTACATACAGAAGGGTTGACACGGAAGCCAGTTCCAGTGGTGTCGATTGTGAAGGTTCCTACTGGACCGCATCCACGCGTTGACCCATGGTTGTGGTAGCAGTCCTGTGAGACGCCGTAGTCTTGTGCTGTCCCATTCCACGTTGCAAAGGTGCGATCAGCTTGATCGACTGCCAATGTCTGTAATATAGCATATGTTTATATGCCTTGAATTTGCTAATTTCATAGCACACCTTTGCACACGATCTCTTATGTTCGCATATGATAGATAATTCAGTATATATTTTGAAACTCATGACAATGACCCCATGTCATGTAATACTGGTCAAAAAGCATATATTACAAATCTATTTATGAGTTGATCAACTCTCCCTTCTTAAGCGCGTCAGCTATAAAGTATCGGTACGTATTCTGTCGAGTCTTGAAGAGTCAGTCCAGCGATTAACATCATCAACCTCCATTAAACGATGCTGACATGTGAAAACAGGCCTAAAATAGATATCTGGTTATGAGCACCTGATCTTCACGGGTAATCGTAGTGTGTACAGAAGCAGAGAACGTAGAACAAGTATTGCCTTGGAACAGGTACTAAACTCGTTATAACATAAGAAGTGTCTACCTATATATGTCAGTGTTGTTATGTGATTGTTTGCTTTAGAACACTACACTCTGCAATATTCTATGTATATAAGTAGTCCTTGAATAATCTATTTTGGACAGCACAACACAGTTAAGGATGCCATGCCATTAGTATCGATGAACACATTGGGATACGATGACAATCAACAAGACGTCTGAGCATTCTTCCCACTAGTCACGCTTACGAAATGATCAACCATTATCTGCATGATGAGATCACCTTGTAAACAAGACAAATGTGTTTCGTCAGCAAATGCATACAGAATATGATTTTGCCATTGGAATATGGTAATCTGTGGTATATATGAAGTTTTGAAGTAGATCTATACAAACGTTTTAATGACCATCCTTCGGGGACTAAAGCAGGTCTATACAAACGCTACACTGACCATCTTTCGGGGTCTGAAGCAGGTCTATACAAACAGTATACTGACCTTCTTCCGGTGACTGAAGCAAGTCTGCACAAACACTATACTTACCATCCTTTCGGGACTGAAGTAGATCTATACAAACGTTTTAATGACCATCCTTCGGGGACTAAACAGGTCTATACAAACGTTATACTGACCATCGTTCGAAGACTGAAACAGGTCTATACAAACATTATACTGACCTCCATTTAGGGTCTGAAGCAGGTCTATACAAACTGTATACTGGTATTCCTTCAGGGTCTGAGGCAGGTCTATACAAACGTTATACTGACCTTTCCTTGGGGACTAAAGCAGGTCTATACAAACACTGTACTTATCATCCTTCGGGGACTGAAGCAGGTCTATACAAACGTTATACTAACCTTCCTTCAGGGACTGAAGCAGGTATTAACAGACCTTATACTGACCTTGCTTGAGGGTCTGAAACAGGTCTATACACATGTTATACTGACCTTCCTTCAGGGTATGAAGCGGGTCTATACAAACGTTGTACTGACCATTCTTCGGTGACTGAAGTAGGTCTGTACAAACGTTATACTGACACAATATAAGTCCTCAAAGACGTTATAGCTGGTTGCTTGTTCCTATCTCCGATAGGTCTTCACATACATTGGACCGCCTCCGTGGTGTAGTGGTTAGAGCGTCCGCCCGGAGAGCGGAAGGTCGCGGGTTCCATCCCCGACCGCGTCATACCAAAGACGTTAAAATATGGTACTTGTTGGTCCCTGCCTGCCGCTCGGCATTCAAGGACTGGTCGGCTCGGTGTCAGTATAATGTGTCTGAGTGGTGTATTCATGCTTCACTGCGGCATGGTATCTCAGTGGCCTAGCACTATAAAACCAGCTTCAGTCTGGGCTAGTATAAGCAGCCGCACATGCACATACACCCGCATGCACGTCGTGATGTGAGCAAAATCTTCTCAAGCACGACGTTAAACCCAATTTCACCTCACCATCACATACATTATAGTTGGTTGCTAGTTACTATCTCAGATAGGTCTTCACATACATTATAACTGGTTGCTGGTTCCTATCTCAGATAGGTCTTCACAGACGGTATAGCTGGTTGCAAGTTCCTATCTCAGATAAAACTTCACAGACGGTATAGCTGGTTGCTAGTTTCCTTCTCAGATAGGTCTTCACGGACGTTATAGCTGGCTGCCAGTTTCTATCTCAGATAGGTCTTCACAGACGGTATAGCTGGTTGCTAGTTTCTATCTCAGATAGGACTTCACAAAAGTATAGCTGGTTGCTAGTTCCTATCTCAGATAGGTCTTCACAGACGGCATAGCTGATTGTTAGTTTCTATCTCAGATAGAACTTCAGCGACGTTATAGCTGGTTACTAGTTCCTATCTCAGATAGGTCTTCACAGACATTATAGGTGGTTACTAGTTCCTATCTCAGATAGGTCTTCAAAGACGGTATAGCTGGTTGCTAGTTCCTATCTCAGATAGGTCTTCACAGACGTTATAGCTGGTTACTAGTTCCTATCTCAGATAGGTCTTCACAGACGGTATAGCTGGTTGTTAGTTTCTATCTCAGATAGGTCTTCACAAACAGTATAGATGGTTGCTAGTTTCTATCTCAGATAGGTCTTCACAGACGGTATAGCTTGTTGCTAGTTCCTATCTCAGATAGGTCTTCACAGACAGTATAGCTGGTTGCTTGTTCCTATCTCTGATAGGTCTTCACAGATGGTATGCTGGTTGCTAGTTCCTATCTCAGATAGTTCTTCAAGTACATTGTAACTGGTTGCTAGTTCCTATCTCAGATAGTTCTTCAAGTACATTGTAACTGGTTGCTGGTTCCTATCTCAGATAGTTCTTCACAGACAGTATAGCTGGTTGCTAGTTTCTATCCCAGATAGGTGTTCACAGACGGTATAGTTGGTTGCTAGTTCCTATCTCAGATAGGTCTTCACAGACGGTATAGCTGGTTGCTTGTTCCTATCTCTGATAGGTCTTCACAGATGGTATGCTGGTTGCTAGTTCCTATCTCAGATAGTTCTTCAAGTACATTGTAACTGGTTGCTGGTTCCTATCTCAGATAGGTCTTCACAGACGTTGTTGGTGGTTGCTAGTTCCCATCTCAGATAGGACTTCACAGACGGTATAGCTGGTTGCTAGTTCCTATCTCTGATAGGTCTTCACATACATTATAATTGGTTGCTAGTTCCCATCTCAGATAGGTCTTTATATACATTATAGCTCAGCGATAGTTCCTGTCACAATAGGTCTGTGCTAGTTGCTATCTCAGATACATCCTCACCGACCATATAGTTCGCTTGATCGCGTCTGCGAGAGGTCGTCAGGAAGGATGCTTCAAACACATGCACCAGATGTGTGTACGCCGTCCACGTGAAATGTTTGAAATTTTTAACGCAAATTTTAATATACGTGTTTTTGTCTAAATGATCACCTTGTATAACCACATTAGTATCTCCATTCTGGTCCGGTTTATTCCGGCCGAGAATAATCCCGACCCTAAATATCTTGATGCAAGCAGAGATCATCTATCTGATGATGACACAATCATGTTTACACAAATATATGCACCGACATTATTGATCTGATATTGAAAAGGCCGTATGTAAGTGACATTCAAAGACTCAAAATTAACTGATCTGAATAACGACAAATCCCGATTTAATTAACTTGTTTGATAGATACCGAAATTGTTGACAAGGATAGTGACATTTCACCTGATAATGGCAGTCATCGAGATTATGGATGGTATAATTTAACAACCTTAATTACATAGCTAGTCCCCATGATGATTCCTGGGTATAAATGTCCCCAGACCTACACAACGGCAGTTACAGGCAACGGTACGAAGTCGCTAAATCATGAATTTGTCGCTGCTATACTCCTAAATTACCGTTGCCTGTAGCGCTTAAGAACAAACAAAGAGCAAGTCAGAGAAATTGCACTACTACTACAGTAGGTTAATGTGTAAGTCTGTGATTATCTAGTATTTTAGCTGTTCTTCGATGACAGGTTTTTACGTTCTAAATTTATTGATATACATTAAAATGTTCGCGTAACGCTATGTCTGCAATATTGCCGATGTGACGTAAATATTAACGCACTCACTCACTAATGTGTAAGTATGGAAGTTACGATCCTTTAAGGGCTTTAAGGTAAAGACCGAACAACTATAGATCTCATCTCGTTAAAGACAACTTCCTTTTATGTCTTTTGGACATGCATTGTTATGAAGAACTCGACCAGTGAACCTCCAGTCATAACCATGGTCGTCATAAACATGGTCTAAACACAGACATACTACTACAAGCGTTATGTACATCAATATAAACATTACACATTGAGACGCTACCGTTAAGTTGACCTTGATCTTGTTGTACGTCCATGATCCCCACCCGTTACCAATAACTCTGTACTTCTTAGGGCCAGAACATGGTATCAACTCTTCCTCCGGGTAAACGCCACTATTTGGGACAGGTAGACTGATGAATTCGTCAGGGGTGTTTCTCATGTTGTGGCAGTAGATGCGGGCTTTGTCCTGCCCCACAAGTCCCGGGGGGTATAACCAGTACTCCCCGTCCACAGGCTGGTTTATAAAGTTCCTTATATCCGCACACGATGCTGGCTCTGTATCATTAGATTGAAAAAAAGCTTTAACTTTCGAATAATGTAAAGGGTATTCTCGCGGTCTCATGGATAGTCTAGTGGTTAAGGCGTTCGCTCGTCAAGCTGAAGACTCGGGTTCGATTCCCACATGGGCACAATGTGTGAAGCCCATTTCTGGTGTCCCCCGCCGTGATTTTGCTGGAATATTGCTAAAAGCGGCCTAAAAGTAAAATCACTCACTTACTCGCGGTCTCGACCTTCCTATAACAATTGTACTGCTAGTATCATAATAAGGGGAAGGATTGTTGGTGTTGAACATAAATAGGTTATTGTGTTCTCACAGTATTTCAAAATGGATGGTAGTAGGCTGGTTATTCACTTGAACACGAAACATGTTACTAATAGATATAATAAATACACTTTAACTGAAGTGCATCGTGCCACAAAATGATCATTGGACCATTAACAATGTCACGAGATATCACTGAAATCATCGAACATGCGTTAGGACATTATCTCCTTGAGCATATTTTACAAACCTTCCATAAGAAATAGGCTAGAAATTTTCTTTATCGTTAAAAACAAATAATGCAAAGCGTATTAGGAATTCTGACAGTCGGTGTGGCGGCATAGGTACAATATGACAGCTTCCAGACCACTATACTACACGTACTACTGAAACCGATGAACTCGAACACTGCAATGATAGTAGGCCAGAAACAGTCCATGAGTCACATACGAGAGCAGTTTTCAGAGCAGATAAAGACTTCGTATCAACGTCAGTCTGGTAGAAAGTTGTATTTAAGAAGACGAACCGTTTAGGAGGGGTGTCATTTGGAGTAGCATCTATGACTGACTGACTGACTGAATTTGGTTTTACGCCGCTTTTAGCAATATTCCAGCAACATCACGGCGGGAGACACCAGAAATGGGCTTCACAAACTGTACTCATGTGGGGATTCGAACCCGGGTCTTCGGCGTGACGAGCAAACGCTTTAACCACTGGGTTATCCCACCGCCCCTGAATCTATAACTAACTACGAATTGATTTGGTCTTTTGCAGATGTAACCATAATTGGATGACCTCCCCCATGAAGTACATTGTACGACACATCTTGCAACAGAACCTCCTGGTCCTGTTACAGCCAGAAAACGCGTGGCCCCGTGTAGAACTAGATGCAAAAGTGGTGGGAATAGACTATACTAACTGTCATTTACCAAGGATTTCTAATTATATGTACATATTTTACTCCTTACTATTGATTGAATAATGAATAAGTGTGTAACAAGGCAACTTATAGGGAGGTGTTACTGATTCTTGTTGATAAACTGTACCTCTTGACCAATACTACAATAACTAGAATAAAACTTCTTTTCGAAAACACACGTATATTTCCAAATAATAACCACCTCAACGAGGAAAATTTAACAGCAGTTTTCTAACAGCTAAAAGAACGCATTTAACAACATCCAGGATTCAGTTTCATTAAGTGAGTGAGTTCAGTTTTACACCGCACTCAGCAATATTCGAGCTGTATGGCGGAGTTTCATTAAGTTGCTGTTTAAGGTAGTAAGTAACATATGATAATGTTCTTTTTCCAACCAAAAAGTTTGGGTGAATATGTGTCCGCATTGTCCGTCAGGGTTATTGATGAAATGTCCAATTTCAAGATTCTCTGTGATTTTAACAATTGATCGAAACGCATTTTGTTCGCGCGGTAACGAACTGAATATCTTTTAAGATCTGAGTATCATAAGCCGACACGCCCTGGTTTTGTTTTGTTTGTTTGTTGGTTGGTTAACGATCTGTAAACAATCGGCGGTCTGTAAATAATCGTATGGACCAGACAGTCGAGTGATCAACAGCATGCGCATCGATCAACTAACTGGATAACGATGTTGTGTGTCAACCAAGTCACCGAGCCTGACCATCCGATCCCGTTAGTTGCCTCTTACGACAAGCATGGGTTATTGATGACTGGTTCTGTTTCAGATGGAAAGAGGTACATACGTCAAGCGTGTAACATCACTAAAACATGTACATAAACAGATAACAGAATATATAACAGGTGTGCAGTCATAAATACGTTGTACTCAACAAACAGTCGACAGAGGTAGAAAGAAATATCTACACGACATGAAACTTAATACCCTTTAAAGGGTAAATTCGAATAGTACATTGATTAAGAATACGGAGCCTGACTGGTAAAAGAACAAACTGACGGGCATTGTATGATGACCATGTAGAAAGTAAAAGCAAATATTCAGGTGAAAAGGAGAGAGGTCACTTGTTATTTTACGTACGCTTTACAAAATGCTCGAATAAGCTGCCAGTAATACTAGACATTTAACACATCAGGAGTAATTTTATATTTTAAATCACACATATTTAAAAGTACGCGTTCTGCAACACATTTCTTGCCAGAAAATAGCCATTTAAAAATCGACACTTACTCCGACAGGCGTAGATTATAACATGTCCATTTGAAGCACAGGCTAATTCAGTCAAGTCACCTGGTTGACCACAAAAGTCTCTTATGTTTTGCGCGCCATTCAGAGACAGCTGGGTGATATTCGAAAACGGCGGCGTACTTTCATCACAACCTGAAGCACAATAAAATAATAATAATAATATTAAAAAGTCAGTTTCATCATCCGTGTACATTGGTCATCATGTTCGAAAAATGCGTATACAGAAAGATATACGACCTTGGATTTCATCATTACAATATATCACAAACATGAACACATGAGAAATTGAAGACATGTTAACATTGAGCAGAGGATATCATTAATTATAGAACAGTAGCTTGATTCGAAATCGTTTTGCAGACGTGTTTCATTTGTATACGAATTGTAATCGAGATGTATGTATCATTATATCTAAAACTAAAGTGCAAGTCATTTCATTTGATTTTATTGATGTTCCTTTGACATAACATATAGGTCACACTCACCATCGGAGTATCGTTTCTGATTGACTAACCATGGTCCCTAGTATGGTGATCTACCTTTAGTTGCTGGCGATCTATAACCCGATTTTATATCGTGTTTTTTTATAATGATTTAACGTTTTACACTGAACTCAAACTAGTTGTAATCAATTTGTGATAATCTAGTCGTTATACTGTCCTTCGTTGACAGGTTTTTAAATAAGTATGAATATATATATATACTTAGTATATAACTGTTGTCGCGATATGGCTGAAATATTGCTGATATATTTAAATATTAACTCACCCACTCACTCTGATTGGCTAATGACAGATATAGCTTGGTTTACGTTGCATCATTACACTGAACCCTGTCATTAATTCCGTATTGCCTATCCCGTCTTGTGTTTGTCTTTGAATACCAGTTTGTGAAGGTTTTGCTCAGTTACTTATTTACAAAGAATGTGTATAAGGAAATGTCAACGTAAAAACCACCGTGCACTCCAATGAATTCCACTCCTATGACTTAAAAGCGAAAAAATACCACATTGATGTCATTCTTTGAAAATTATACCCTGCACTTCAAAGTTTATATTTTATTGTAGACTCGTTAGTGAATGAAACGTTCTGAGATCGTAAAATCTCCAGTTTGGGCAGCCATGATTTTAATGATGTATAGTATAGTAAGTATAGTAATTGTCTATTGACATCTCCAGATAATACTCAAAGAAGTGTGTGAAACTTACTACAGCTAGTCGTCACTCGGTAATCGTTGAGGAACTATTACACGTATTTCTCGAGAATGTGGTGCTGTCCATTTAGTCATTGGTCGTAGTGATATATAATTATTTTGTCTCCCTGTAAGACAGGGTACACACTCAATTGCAGGTACGGATTTATGGGACGCTTCGATACCGATGGCGACGATAACAATGTTTTGAGCTTCAGAATAGAGTGAAATCTCCATGCCCTGTCTCATGTTGATTTTGTTTGATGAAAAGGGACATACTTCGCCATTCCTGTTATTCCGTGTTTTTATTTTCCTATCCCAAGTCCCCGGATAAATAATGCCCGTTCTTCCTTGTTGAAAAAAATGCAAATTCAAGCGCGTCTCGTCGAGTAGCGTGTCACAAATATCAATTTCTGATAAGATTTTTTACTATTCTATGATTTTGTTGAAATCGCGTTATTTAGAAGCACCCGCACTGAATTTCCATTCCGAAATATATTGTTTACCTTTTTCGTAAAACTTCTACGCTTCAGATATTTTTCTGCATCAAATCGTAAAACGTAGAGTGACTGTGTGGGTTTGATTCACGGATTTGACTCACACCCCAAAAGTTGATGGTATTATTTAAAAATCTCAAAATTCCAAGCCAGGCAGCCGGACTGGTAACTTAAAAAAATTACCAGTCCGGATGCAAACTTGTCTGTCCGGTTTTCAACAATAAAAAACTGCGGTTTCCAACTCGCGCAAGCTCAATTCACTGTTTGTTGGCATTGCAATGAACTACATAACACTAACAGGCAATGCACCGAGTTTAGGTAAACTGAAAGTACATGTGTTGTGATTGGATATCGTAGCATGAACTGTCCAATCGTAAGTTGTTTTACATAATTTTCATAATACCTTAAACACCTCAAACTGCGGACAAGAGAACCTGTCTGATATTATGAAATATTTACTCTTTGAGGTAAAAATATCTGCAAGACCACCGGACACGCTACTTTTGAAATTTGACCGTCCGCGATGAAAACAGACCGTTCCGGGCGGTCGGGCAGGCGGGAATTTTAAACGACTACTGTTTCAGTTTTACCGCTTAGGTTAACATCTGTACCTTACATCTTTACCAAGTGCATTCATCCTCTAGTTACATGTTGGAGATGGCAATATCTTGATACTGTAGTCTACTTTGACGATGTCTACGATTATGCCCAATCGAAGTACTTGTGTTCTCGTCAGTCAGACATTGTTAGAGATACTCTAGAACAATCCGGTTTTGTTGTTCATGTTGAAAAGTCAGTATGGCATCCTGTTACAGAGTTGGAGTGGCTTGGATGTACAATCACTCGCCACCTCCATCTTTTTGACAGACAACCAGTAAAAAAGGTCCAGCTGCATTCCCAGAACAGAAGAAGAAAAGGCAGATGCTGAGTCAATTTGAAGATTCAGATAATTGGAGAGAGTTACTGATAATTTTTTCAAATTCTTGGATGGAAGATGGGGGCCACATTCTGTGATCGTTTCGCTAACCATTTGCATACCAAGGTAGAAAGGTTTAATTCCCAATCGTGGGTGCCGGATACGGAGGCAGTTGATGCATTTACTCAGCAGTGGCATGGGGAGAACCACTGGGCGGTTCCTCCTGTACATTTGGTGTGTAGACAGCATGTAATGTTCCGACTACCTTAATGGTGCCTATGTGGCTATCTGCTCCACAATGGCATTTTTGTTCCTGGAAGGTCAACCCAGAAATTTATGTGCGGATATGATTCAGTTGATAGGCAGCAACTCCGTCTCAGGTGGGAGCAAGCAGACTGTATTCAATCGCTTCACTGGGTTCATGTTTGCACAGATTTGACAACTGATTATATATCTTTCTAGGTATATTTTGCGTTGGTATATGGAGAGAGAGAAATATGCTCTGGCGCACCAATAGTTAGTTGATTTATCTTAAAAAATGCCTGGAATTGTTTTGAAATATAAAGCAGATACTACAGTTTTAAAATATAGAAGAGCTTTTTCATGTTGGCAAAAATGGGCCTCAATGATTAAAGAAACAAGCATTGTCACTAAGGTGACATAATCCCCCGCCGCAAATGATCAAATCAAACTTATAAAGTAATGAAAGTTTAAGTTAAATGTCAACCAAAACATGACCAGTCAACCTCTCTTGATGTCTTGCTCTTTAGGTGTTCAAACACACACATATTTTCAAGACTGACTTTGACATGAATGTCATAGTGTATGAAATATGCAAAAATAGTACTAAAGAAATTGCTTTTTGAAAAACATTTAAGGGGAGTCTTGAAAGTCTTTGAAGAAGATCCAGTGAACTGTTTTTGAAATATCTTGCTGACAATTCAGGTTAACATGCTCAAATCTTCAAAGTGTCTCTGTGACCTTGAAAATTAAGTGAAGGTCACCAACATCGACTGGGCCCTGCGCCTTCCCTAGATAAAGCTTGGTTTCAAATATGAAGAAAATCCAGTGAACGGTTCTTGAGATAGCTTAACATGCAGGTAAAACGTTAAAGTCCCCTTGTGACCTTGAAATTAAGGTCAAGGTCACCAAACCTGACTTGGACCTTTCTTATAATGTGATGAACCTAGGTGCCAATTATGAAAAGAATCTAGTGAACGGTTCTTAAGATATTCCAATTCGTACGTACGTACGGACGGACGGACGGAGCCTAATACTATATCCCCCGCTTCGCGCTAAACGCGCGGCGGGGGATAATAAGCGTTTTATGTGCAAATTCTTTTCATGTAGGCTTGTACCTTACGTCATTGATCCAGTCAACTAAAAGGTCTGCTGTTATTATTGATGATGTTTATGGCATAAGATGGGTTCACAGAGTAGCAGCTCTACAAGATCCATGTAACATATGTTATATTTGGGATAACACTTTCTTAATAATATTATAGTAAATATAATATATGTTACATTTGACCACTTTCTAAATGGCATTGTGTATTCAAACCAGATCCATGTGTACATGACCTAATTAAGAACATTAAAGAAGCAGCCAGGAGATGTCACAATGTTCGTATTTTCATAGAAAAGAGTAAGACAGACGTGTATAGAGAAGGTAGATTATGATTGCTGCATCTGGTTCCGAACTCTGTCCAGTGTCATGCTTCGCCGTTATATGTCATCAGCAAATATCAAGGAAGTATGCACTCGGGGTAATACGCCAATCTCCTACACGAGAACAAGAGAACATTAACTAAATAAGAATAGATGTGTTAGTACTTAGTGTACTCACAACAAGTTGATTTCTCGATGGTGTTCTTTGTTTATTGCATCTTCAAACTTCGTTTGATACGCAAAACGATGTTGTCATCCAGGCAATATTGTCTTACGACACAATTCACATGCCGGCTTTCTCACTCACATGCCCTTACGAGACGCACAGACAGGCCGGCAGCAATGCAAGGGACATAATCACACAAAAGAGTCAACGCTTGCCGCTAACAAAAACGAATAATAACATCCAAATTTCCGTTACAAGATGTGAAGAGTTTGGGGTTGCATAGTTTCCGTTATGAGGGAACAACAGCCGCTGCGAGTGCAGGTGTATCTGATCGGTTGTTTAAGAGACATGACCGCTGGGTTTCCGACACGGCAAATAACGGATAAAGATGACATAGGAGAGTTGTTGAGTGTCACTTAAATAAATAATTTATGTTCGTTTGATCGAAGAGAATTAGAACATATACTTGGGGTAAAATACGGAAGATTTTGCCGAGTGCAAGGAGCGTGCTTTGCACGTGCGAGTTGTGCAGAAGCCATGTGCCGAAGGTGATGTCTTAAGATTGAATACATGTTATGCCATTCGAGGTATTCGGACAGCACAGCGAGCAACTTTCTTCAATTAAATTTATTGGACGTTATGATGGAAAGTTTTCAGTATTTGAATCTGTATGGCAGATTACAAGCCGAATGAT